CCGTGAGGGTCACAGTATGAGGATCGTTTGAACTCACAATGATTTCATATACTACTCACACCATGAGGATCACAGTATGAGGATCGTTTGAACTCACAATGATTTCATATACTACTCACACCGTGAGGATCACAGTATGAGGATCGTGTGATGTCACTGTGATCATCGCATGATCTCACGTGTTGACTGGGTATTAAAAGTCAAATATTGTTCAAACAGTTAATTCCATTTTTAGAAATATAATTAAATAAAGTTAAAACAAAGTAGTGACACATTTACCCTAATAAAATGTTACTGTATAAATATAGGTATAGAGCAGAATAACCGTCTAGAATCTGAAGTTGTTTTTTTTTCTCTCAGATAATGATAAGGCTGTCATTGGATTCTTGGTGTTCCTCATCCTTGTGACGTCACTTGCGCTCCTTTTTGTGTTATACAAAATGTTCCTGCTCAAAAGAAAACGGTCAGTTTGTCAAATTGATTATTTTCAATTGGCATAAAAGGATTAATGGATTAACATTAGCATAAATGTGTAACTATATTTCTGATGGTATTTCTCACCACAGGAGTGCTGAAGATGAAGAGATTCCTCTTACCCGTATGTTATTTGCTCCAATCAATCAATTCATGTTTATTTCGAAAGTAAACTGATTTTAAAAGAACTATCTGATGTTTCATGTCCTCCAGCAGAACCGCTGCGCAGAGTTGAGCCCATCTATGCCGAGGGTTTGGTGGAGGCTTACGTGAGCAAGATCGCTGATGAGAGCCGTCTGTTTATGGATGAGTTTCAGGTGATTCTCAATCTCTATACCATTCATCTGCAGAAGCTGCATTTACTGTTTTAATATAATGAGAAATACATTCAGATTCTGCTTCTCCTCAGAGCATTCCCCGCATTTTCTCCAATTACACCATCAAAGAAGCGAAGAAACAGGACAACCAGTCCAAGAACCGCTACGTTGACATTCTGCCTTGTAAATATCACTCCAGTTTTCATAAAGAAATCAGTATAAACAATTCCTCGTGTAGTTTTCAAATTTTATCAGAGAATTGATCATTTTGTGCATGAATTTGCAGATGACTATAATCGGGTTACTCTCTCAGCTGGAGGCGAAGACGACTACATCAATGCCAGCTTTATCGAGGTATGGGTCATTTATCCTCTAGCTATATATCATGCTTGTTTACCTCAACTAATTTTAATATAACTTTTGAAATTAATGGAGGTCATTTTTAAATAAATTTTCAATATTATACTTAACATTTCAATTAAACAATATTTATTTATTTATTTAATTGTTAACATGTACTGTAACTCATGAACCCTTGCAGGGATATCAAGAGCCAAAGAAATACATTGCAGCCCAAGGTAAAAATCCTCTTATTATATGGATGGTTATGATTCTAAATTGTGATTGGCTAAGCCACATTTAAAGCGGCCAATGAATGCACACTTTTACCCAACATTCTATATTACTGTTGCCTGATAACCATCAAAATTGTGGCAGAATTGTTTACACCAACATTTAAGGTTATTAAAAGTGAAAATTTTTGAAGTTTAAACAAAAGATTTTTTTGTTGGACGTGTTTTCCAGGACCCAAGGATGAGACTGTTTGTGACTTTTGGCAAATGGTTTGGGAGCAAAAGTCATCCATTGTTGTCATGGTCACCCGTTGTGAGGAAGGAAACAAGGTTGTGTTTGGTCCAGTGTTGTAGAATTTTTTATAGTATTTATTCATATTTTTGTACTTTTTATTAGTTATTTGTTCATTATTTCCACTCACTGTTGCTGTTTGTCCTCTCAGATCAAATGCGCTCAGTACTGGCCATCTCTGGACAGAGAGACTGAGATTTTTGACGATTTTGTGGTGAAAATCCGATCTGAGCAACATTGCCCTGATTATACCATACGCCATCTGATCCTGAACAATGTAAGTGTGTGTGGTTCGCTTATTCTTATGTGCTTCATTCAGACGGTTTTAACTTAATGTGTGTGTGTGTTTGTGTGTGTGTGTACAGAAGCGAGAGAAGGCCTCAGAAAGAGAAGTAACTCATATCCAGTTCATTAGCTGGCCTGACCATGGTGTGCCTGGAGACCCCTGCCTGCTTCTGAAGCTCAGGAGAAGAGTCAACTCCTTCAAGAACTTCTTCAGTGGCCCGGTTGTGGTCCACTGCAGGTAAGACAGGACTGTAGAGATTATTATGTGCATTTGGTATCAAAAAGGTCATTGACTAAAGGGTCATTTAGAGTGGATAAAGCTTAATGTGAATGTTGTTGTATCTTCTATAGTGCAGGGGTCGGCCGCACAGGAACATATATCGGCATTGATGCAATGATTGAATCTCTCGAGGCAGAGGGCAGAGTGGATATCTATGGATACGTAGCAAAACTACGTCGCCAGCGTTGCCTCATGGTTCAAGTGGAGGTGATTTTATTTTATTCACTGATTTATTGGTAATAAATTTGGTGTGTCACACCAAATTTGAAGTAGGTATTATTAAAAAGCCCAAATTGGTCTAGATGTTATACTCTAATCATTTTCAAATTATTTTATATATAATTAATGATGATACTTATTTTGTTAACAATTTAAATATGTATTTAGCAGTTTATTTAAATATTTGAATATTTATTTAATTAGTTAATTTTAAGTCATTTATTTAAATAAAATGACCAATTATTGGTCATTCATTTTTAGTCATTTAAGATTAATAAACATTTTTAAAATACCTATGTGAAATTTCTGTCAAATATTTTGTAGTATTTAGAATTTACGTTTTTACATTTACATTTGCATTTCTGTATATACATGTAAATTAAACCTATGTATGCTAAAAATCTTTTCTTTAAATCTTAAATATAATTTATAAAGTCTTAAATATAAGTGTTAAATCTAATCATGAGCTAAATATGCAAAAATCATATTTTAATTTATCCTTAAAATGTACATTTTAATGGAAAGTTAATTGAACATTTATGTTTTTGTAAAAATATTAAAGGGTTAGTTCACCCCAAAATTAAAATTAGAATAGAAAATTGTGTTTCTCTCGAAGTACTCTCGAAGCATCCTAGGTGCATATGAATTTCTTCTTTCAGACGAATCCAGTCGGAGTTATAGTAAAAATTGTCCTGGCTATTCCAAGCTCTATCATTGAACAGTCCACAAGTCGTCAAATAAAGCTCGCGCATTCATAATAAAATGTGCCTCAAGGGGTGAATAAAGGCCCCCTGTAGTGAATCCATGCATTTTTGTAAGAAAAATATACATATTTCAAATGTAATAAACACTTTTCTCTCACTTCCGGTATATGTCATACACGGAAGCCGTTCCGGAAGCCGGATGACGCAGCACGTATGCGCAGCGCGCGCGCCTCTGAGATATGCTAGTCTCATGAGTTCGTTTATAGGAGCAAAGGAAGCAAAGTTTCCTTACTTTAGCAAAGGAAAACCAGTCTCCTCTTGGCTTATATCGAAATCCTCCGACATT